CTGCTTTTCTTATGGAGACGCTTGGGCCAGTTTAAATGTGCTTCGGGGTAATGGGGGTGAGGAGAGTTTAGGACACCCTCCAGATTTATTTTTATTTGTTTATTTTTTCCATTTATTTTCATTAGTTGGAGGCTAATCACCTTACACCATTGCATACATTGACATGAATCAGCCATGGATTTACATGTGTTCCCCATCCCGGTCCCCCCTCCCACCTCCCTCTCCACCCGATCCCTCTGGGTCTTCCCAGTGCACCAGGCCCGAGCACTTGTCTCATGCATCCAACCTGGGCTGGTGCACCCTCCAGATTTAGGACGGGGCGATGAAAAGCTGAGTTGGAGTAATTGTGTCTTCTGCCTTGGACTGGCCGCAGCCGCGGGCCTCCTGAGTTGGCTCACTTGAATCTTTTCAATTTTAACTTTTCATCCTGAATATTGCCCAAGAGACACAAAGGGAGAAAGAATCGTATGATGAACCCCTATACCCTTCACCCAGTTTTGACATTCCTGTTGTATCTCTTCCCCCATCAAAAAAATGTTTGAAGCCTGGCATAGTATTTTAAAACTAATCCAAGACATATTGGTTCACTTTTGAATATTTCAGTCTCCGTCTTTAACAGATAAACATTTTGCAAAAATGTTTTGCACAATACCATCATCGCAGCTCCTGACAATTTTTTAATAACCATCCCAAGTCCATTTTTCTATTTCCCTGACCAACTCAAAACATCTTTATGCAAAAGTGCTTCATTTGAATTGGGATCCAGTTTCCTGACCAGGGATTGAACCTGGGCCACTGCAGTGAAAGTCCAAATCCTAACCACTAGACCACCAAGGAATGCCCAAGTTTTGTTTGGTTTGATTTGTTTTGTTTAATTCTATTATTAAATTTTTGAATTGAGGTATAGTTGATGTACAGTAGTATATGATTCGGAGAAGGCAATGGCAACCCACTCCAGTGCTCTTGCCTGGAAAATCCCATGGCTCGAGGAGCCTGGTGGGCTGCAGTCCATGGGGTCACTAGGAGTCAGACACGACTGAGCAATTTCCCTTTCATTTTTCACTTTCATGCATTGGAGAAGGAAATGGCAACCCACTCCAGTGTTCTTGCCTGGAGAATCCCAGGGACGGGGGAGCCTGGTGGGCTGCCGTCTATGGGGTCGCACAGAGTCAGACACGACTGAAGCGACTTAGCAGCAGCAGCAGCAGTATATGATTGTACAATGTACAGTCTTGAGTTCCTGGTGTTCAACATTCACACTTTTTACAGGTTATACTTCATTTATAGTTATTATAAAATATTGGCTATATTTATAGGTTGTAGAAAAAACATACAACCTGTGCCGTTGGTTTGGCTTTTCACCTATTTCTGTGAACTGCTTCAGGCTCTGGGCTTCGCTGAACCCCACCTTAATCTGCAGGGCTGCTGTGAGGAAGGGCCACAGTCTGGCTGACTCACCCAGAAATATCATCTGGAAGTTCTAGAAGCTGGAAACCTGAGATCAAGGTGTAAACCAGGCTGCTTCTTTCTGAGGCCTCTCTCTCCATGGCTCACGGATGGCTGTCTTCTCCCTGTGTCCTCAAGTGGTCTTTTCTCTGTGCATGTCTGTGTCCCCATTTTCTTTTTCTCTTTTTCCTTTCAAAAATTTTTTTATTGGAGTATGGTAGATTTACAATGTTGGGTTACTTTCAGATGTATAGCAGAGATTCAGTTAAACATGGGCATGGTGGTGCCTGACTCTTTGCAACCCCTTGGACTGTAGCTCACCAGACTCCTTTGTCCATGGGATTTCCCAGGCAAGAATACTGGAGTGGGTTCATTTTCTTTCTTTTTTTTTTTCCCCATCAAATGCAGTGTTTACTTTTTTTTTTTTTGCCATGCTGCGCAGCATGTGGGATCTTAGTTCCCTGACCAGGGACAGAACCTGTGCCTGTAGCATTGACCACACAGAGTCCTCACCACTGGAGGACCTGTGCGGAGGCCCCCCATCTCTTCTTGTAGGGCCCCAGTCCTGTTGGATCCAGGTTCTCCACATTGACCTCATTTCACCTTCATTGAGATTTGGAGGAACACAGTGCTGCCCACAGCACCCCCTCAGGGCTCCTGTGTCTTCACACAGACAGGGAGCCAAGGACTAACTTACTGGAGCAGAAGGCACAGTGAGCGGTGCCAGCCCGCAGCCCCAGAGCGTTCCCACCCACCCAGTCCAAAAGGCCCACGGTGAGCCTTTCCATGTACCACCCTCTCCTGCCCCGGCTGGTCCCCAAGGTCGGCCTGAGCCTTCCTGTGAGCACAGCCAGGTCCTGTCTGGGCCTGCCCAAAGACAGTTGTTTGGTGGGAAGGAGATGACTCCGTCTGGAGAGAGGACTGGACCTCCAACCTTGCTGGGCACGCTGGGTTGCTGCCCAGCCATCCTCCGATTAGACATAGGCAACCTAAGGAGTCCCCACATCTTTTTTTTTTTAAATTTAATATTTATTTACTTGGCTGCACTGGGTCTTAGTTGCGGCACATGGGATCTTTAATTGCAGCATTCGAACTCTTAGTTATGGCATCTGGGATCTAGTTCTCTGACCAGGGAATGAATTCGCGCCACCTTGCATTGGGAGCATGGACTCTTACCCACTGGTGGACCACCAGGGAAGTTCCCTAATGTCCATTCTTCCCTAGTCCCATTTTACAGCTGAGAAAACTGAGGCACAGAGAGGGTCAGCGGCAGCGGAAGCTGTAATGTCTCTTCCTCCCCAAATAGCTACTTTCCCACACCCTTTCCAGGGGAGCTGGTGCCCTTGAAAGGCCTGCTCACCTTTTTCCCAGGTGCCCCAGGGAGTCCTTTCCCTTTTCCTCCACTTGAACAAAATGTAGAAATTGCTGCCTATGGACAAATGGGCACAAATTGTGATGCTTTTAAAGAATAACAAGAGGAGGAACAAAGAGTGGAGAACCCTGGAAGGGAATGCTCTTTGGCAAGAAAGAGGAATTAAGTACCGATTCACATGGGTGCCACATGGGTGAAGCCTGACATTATTATTTTGAGTGCAAGGAGCCAGACACAAAAGGGCACGGATTGCCTGATTCCATTTGTACAGAAAGTCCAGGAAAGGCAAGACCGTGGAGACGGGAAGAAGATCAGTGGTTGCCTAGGCTGAGGGGAGGAGGGAATGAGGAGCGACTGCAGATGGGGACAAGACTCCTTTTGGGGTGATGAAGATGTTCTAAAATTCAATTATGGGGGATTTAAAAAAAAACACAACATTTAATCGTGTGTTTTAAAGCCGAGAACTTTATGGTATGTAAATGATATGTCAGTGAAACTCTTTAACAAAAAAAGAATTATAACTAAACAGACACAGGTGTGTCTTCTCTCCAGGGGATGGTACATTCTCCAAAATGCCCCCACCCACCTACCCCTATCCAAGAGAGGTCCAGGGACTCTCTTTTCCCTGACATAGGTACTTCCTTCTGTCTTCCTACTTCCTTCCTACTTCCTACATGATTTTTTTCTTAATGTCAACTGTTCCATTATTATTATTATTTCTTACTCTTTCAGTTTAAAAAGCATTTTTTTGAAAAATAGAAGTATAGTTGAGGACTTCCCTGGTGCTCCAATGGTTAAGAATCCACCTGCCAATGCAGAGGACATGGGTTCCACCCCTGGTCCAACAAAATTCCATATGCCACAGGGCGACTAAGCTTGAGTGCCACAACAAAGATTCAATGTAGCCAATAAATAAATGAAGTACAGTTGATTTGCAGTGTTATGCTAGTATCCTTCTGGTTTTCAAATAGCAACTTATGGAGGAATAATTCATATATTAATACTATACAGTCTCCATTTAAAGTGTATAATTTAGTAGGTGTGTTGGGGGGTCATTTCCTTTTTATCTTTTGGTCACACTGCAGGGCATGTGGGATCTTAGTTCCCTAACCAGGAATCAAACCCCAGGCCCCCTGCATTGGCAGCTCAGAGTCATCTGCTGGACCACCAGGGAAGTCCCTGTCTGTGCTATTCTTCACCTGGGCATATAAGGGAAGATCTACAAGCGAGTGGTAACAGTGTTGTCTCTGGAAGGGGATTCAGGTTGTAGGAAGTGAGACTATACCATGTGTATAGCATATCACTTATTTTTAAAAAATAAAGTGAAATGAAGCTGCACCTTGTGTTCATACTGGGAGAGCTACTGCAGCCCTCCAAGGCCCCTGGGTCCTTAAAACTGGGATGGAGGTGCGTCTCCATCGTTTGCATGAGCCCGAGAGGTGATGGTGGGACTCAACTGTGAAAACCGCCCCTTAGAGTTGCTCCCATGCAGCAGCGCCCAGCCTCCAGGTGAAATAGGTTGGTTGCAACACCTCCCACCATTTAGAAATGAGAATTCAGGCAGCGACTTTGACAAGAGTCAGCAGAGGGCTCTGGGAGTAATCAAAGTGAAGTGAGCAGCTCTGCGGAGGGCTCCTGGCTTCTCCGATGGATCCCTCCACCTGTAGAAAGGAGACTTTTTAAAAAAATATATTTTTCTTATTTATTATTTTTGGCTATGCTGGGTCTTTGTTGCTGCAGGCAGCTTTTCTCTAGTTGCAGAGAGCTGGGGCTACCCTCTAGTTGCAGTGTGCAGGCTTCTCATTGCCGTGGCTTCTCTTTTTGCTGAGTACGGGCTCTAGGGCTCACGGGCTTCAGTAGCTGTGGCACACCAGCTTTGTTGCCCCATGGCATGTGGGGTCTTCCCAGACCAGGGATCAAACCCATGTCCCCTGTATTAGCAGGTGGGTTCTCAACCACTGGACCACCAGGGAAGTCCAGGAGGGAGATTTGACCATATTCACTCGGTTCTTGGCCCCCTGAGCTAGTCCCAAGTTCCATCAATTTCCTGGGTGATTTGGCCAAGCCCTGGGGTGGCCTTTGTCATCGGCTGGCTGCGTTTTCTCATTCAGGTGTACACTTGGCTGGGCTAGGAAGAAGGAAGCTGTGGCCGAGTCAGTAATGACTTTTCTCATTTCTGCAGTTCCTGACAAGGCTGACTGAGAGGTTCGTGCTGGGAGTGGACATGTTTGTGGAAACCGTGTGGAAAGTTTGGGCAGAGCTCTTGGAAGTTCTTGGACTCGACGGTAGGTGTTGGGCATTCATTTGAAGGCTGCGTTTCATTCTGGTGCTTCTCAAATTATGGGAGTGGTATCCAGGGCAGGTGGTGCAGGAGAAGACAGGGGTGGAGGGGATACAAGAGAACCTATTTTATTATCGTAGTTGTGTTTGTAAGTAACTGAGATTCCCAGATGCTACTTAGAAGGTGTAGGTGGGTAGTGCCAACTTGTTTGTCCCTAGGCTTCCCTGTTGGTTCAGATGGTAAAGAATCCGCCTGCAATGCAGGAGACCTGGCTTCAATGCCTGGGTCAGGAAGATCCCCTGGAGAAAGGGATGATAACCCACTCCAGTAATCTTGCCTGGAGAATCCCATGGACTGAGGAACCTGATGGGCTACAGTCCATGGGATCTCCAAGAGTCAGACAGGACTGTCACTCAGGCAAACTCGGGGACTGGAGGTGGAGTCTCTCTGGGTGGTCGGGGTCCATAACAAACTACTCCAGTTACTCAGACCGGAAGTGATTTAATACAGAGAATGAGGTGCTCACAGACTCATCGGAAGGAGCAGTGTGTGATCCCCAGAAAGTCAATGTGCTGGTCCAGGAATCAGGAGGCAGCTGCTGGAGCCCTTTGAGTTCAGGCTGCTGCCTCTCTCCAGGAAGCCTGCAGCTGCCTGTGTCAGGATCGCCAAGACCACCCCTGCCCCCAGGTCCCGTGCATCTCTAGAAGGACTCCCAGGACCCAGCGTTTGTTGGTACCCTCAGCTGTGATGTGTTACAGGGAAGGACAGAGCACAGTCAGCAAAGGGAAAGACACGTGGGGTGAAGTCTGGGGAACCAGGCACAGGCTCCCAGAGCCCTCTCCAAGATGGGGGTGGGGGTGTCACACAGGACACGCTTTGTTCCCCATGTGAAGTGTCCTCAACCAGGGACATCCAATCGAGACTCAGCACCCAGGGTGTTTATTGGGGGGCTGGTCATGTAGGCACCCTCTGCCTTGTACCTTCTAAATTCCAGACTCCTGGAACGAAAGCAGGTATCAGCATGAACCACGTTGTTTGTGCAGAACCTCCAGGCCCAGATTGAACTCAGTTCTGACCCTGCCTCCCTGGAGGTAACATCTGATCCTACAGGTCAGAGGCTTAGTCCCACAATTGCCCCCACTTCAGACACTCGTCTAGGTTGTCCCCGATGCTTCTGACTGGCTGGTATAGATCAAGGGTACCAATGACCCGTCCCCTCCTTGGGTTCAAGTAACTTGCTAAAGCTGCTTGTGGAACTCAGGAAACCTGTTTACTCAGTAGATGTTTTTTTATGAAAGGTGATAGGAGCCAGGTGAAGGAGGGGCATGGGGCAGGGTTTATGGGCAGGATGCAGAGCTTTTACGTTCCGAGTTCTATTGACTCATTGGCCACTGGTGATGGATTCAACCTTCACCTCCTCCCAAGAGGTCAGGAGGGTCAATCGAAAGGCTCAACCCTCTAAAAACCAAGTTGGTTCCCTTGGCAACCAGCCTACATCTTTAGAGGCTTTTCAGAATCACCTGATTAACAAACACAGGTATGTGAGAAAGGGGCTGTGAATTATCAAGACACCTTTATTGCTCTTATCACTTAGGAAATTGCAAGGGTTTTAGGAGCCTGTGCCAGAAATGGGGATGGAGGCCACTTATTTCTTAGGCATCCCAATCTCACAATCCAGAAATCCACGTTCCCAGATGCTGGCCAAGGGCCCAACTTGCAAACCTTTCTGGAAAGTGGCCTTAGGCCTTCTGGGTGAGCGCTTTGCTGCTTATCTCCTAACCAGGGTCCCTTCTCAACAAATCAGCTAGAGTGATTTTTTTTTTTTAATTACTACTTTTTTGGTTAGTGATTTTAAAAAAACAAAACATGAAAGTCAGATTAAGTTACTCTCATTAAAACTGCCCAGTGATTTCCTGATGCACTTTCAATTGACAAAGTTCACACCAAGGACACTGCCTAGCCCTTGGACACACCCGAGTCCTTGACGCCTTCCGGTTGCTCTATGTGTTCCCTGCTGGGGACGATCTTCCCAGCCCTTTGCCTGCTCCCGTCTTTCCCATGCTCGGGTCTCTGGTAAATGACACCTCCTCCAAGAAGCCCATCCTGACCACGTTGTGTGAGGACCCTCATGCTGAGTTCTCACACTCGCATTCTCCCACCTCCTGTCCTCCTCCCACATGTTTGTATTTGTTATCATTTCCCCTCTGAGATCCATGAGCAAGGTCTTGCATGCCTTCTCCAGGCTGCAACCTCGGCCCCAGTTCTGCCCCTGGTACAAAAAGGCCCATTGTCAGTAAGGGTTGGAGGCCTGTCAGCCCCACTGCTTCACTGCTTTGGCGATTTGAGGTGTCCCTCTCCAAAAGTGCCCCCTCAAAACTCCCACACCTGTGAATGTGACCTTATTGGGGAATGAAGTCTCTGCAGATGTAATCAAGCTGAGATGAGGTCATCCTAGGTTAGTGTGGGTCTTCAATCCAACATCTGGTGTCCTTACAAGAAGACGAAGGGACATCCTTGGTGGTCCAATGGATGAGACTCCGAGCTCCCAATGCAGGGGGCCCTGGTTTGATCCCTGGTTAAGGAACTGGATTCCACATGCCGAATCTAAAGATCACGCATGCCCCCATGAAGATTGAAGATCCTGCATGCTGCAGCTGAGACCTGACACAGCCAAATAATAAATAAAAATAAATATTTTTTAAAAAGAGGGAAATTTGGACGGAGACACAGACACACGGAGACGATGGCCATGTGAATGTGAAAACGGAGATGGAGAAGGAGGGGTGCAGTCAACGAGCCAGAGACCGGAAGGGGCCGGGAGAGAGCCTCCCCTGGAGCTTTAGCTGGTGTGCAGCCCCGCCCACAGCTTGACTTCAGAATTCTGGCCCCCAGAACAGTGAGGCTCCATTCCTGTTGCTTGAAGCCACCACGTCTGCGTCTGTTACAAAAGCCTGAGGAGACCAGTACACTCTCTGAGTTCCACGCACCATCTCTTTGAATCCACTCACCACCTCCGACCCCCTCCATCGGCCCTGACACTCCCACCTTACAGATAGAGACCAAGGCCTTGGAGCTGAGCTGGCTGCTGGCCCAAACCCATACCCTGGTTCGCACCCGCTGTCATCCCCTCCATCCTTGGGAACCCACCCTCCGGCTTTGAACCGCTGAATTCAGTCTCTGAGAGGCAGAATCAGAGGCAGCAGCATCGCCATTTGAGAGGCTGCTGTGCAGCTCCAAGCCCCCTGGGGCTGCGGAGGGCCCCTCCTGGGACTCCGGCTGAGTCAACACGGAACCTGGCTCCCGCAATTGAGTGCAATCCCGCTTGGAATCCATTTTCACCACCTGCCCAGATCATTAAACTCTCGGTATTTCTATCCCTGACCAATGAGCCCTGGACAAACAAACCTGACTGCAAGAAATTGCACTCGGCTTGAAAGGAAAGACTAGAGTCAAGTCAGCCTCCTGGTTGGGGAGCTATATCCCACGTGCCGAAACTAAAGATCCCGCATGCCGCAGTGAAGATCAAAGATCAAAGAGTTCTACAGCTAAGAGGCCCTGAATACTCATGTTCATGAGAAGGGTGGCTGGCACATTCAGAGGTGAAAGAACTCACTTCTGTGTTGTGGTTTTTTTCCCCTTGATGCATTAAGTTTCAAATCATCTGAAGACCTCTAGAGTGTGTGTCTTACACTGAGACTTTTGAAGGTGCAAAATGTTTTGCAGGAAACTGGACTCCAGAGTTGGATATTCTGGTACAGAATGCATCTGTGAGCACAATGCTTTAATTGCCTGCTTCAGAATGTTTCAAGGTACTGGTTAAAATGGAGAGTCCTTAGCCTGGAGTGGTTCCATAGAAATAGAATGCCAGCCACATATGTGACGTTAAATGTTCTAATTGCCATGTTAAAAAGGTAAAAAGAAACCAGTGAAATGAATAAGGTATTTTAGTTAATCCAATATATTAAAAATATTGCCATCTTGGTACTTCCCTTGAACCTGGGTTTGGTACAGGGGTTTGATACAAGCTGCCAGCACAACCACAAGGAAAAAAAAATGTCATTTCATCTTGGAATCAATAGAAAATTAGTAATGAGGTGTCTTACATCTTGGGGCATACTGATGTCTTGGAAATCTAGCCTTTATTTGGCCCAGCACATCTCAACTCACACTTGCCATGTTTCCTGGGCTCAGTGTCCACTATAATGACAGTACAGTTAGCTCCATCCTCGCTCTCCTGGCTGAAGACACTTTTCTGGGAAATAGCATCCAGAGTCAGAAGGAAGGATTTCAGTCTCCCATCTTCAAATTGTTGACTTTCTCTGAAGCCTTGGAGGCCTTGTGACACTTGTGACAAAATGGGAGAAGTAGGGATTCCTCCTGAAGGCTGCCTGAGGACAGGGCAGGGACTGGGTGGCTCTGTCAGCCAGACTCTGCCTTGAAATACCAGCTCCACTCTGCCCTAGGTGTGTGACTGAAAAGGTTCCTGGACCCAATTCCAAAGTGTGTGTGTGTGTGTGTGTGTGTGTGTAGGCTTCCCCCTACCAGCTAGCAATGTGCAGATAACCATGGGGTGACAGAGAATTCAACTCGGTTCTGACATTATCTACCTAGAGGCAGAATCAGACCCCACAGGCAAAGGGTTCAGTCCCACAAGACCACCCTCCACTTTGGATGCCTATCATGAGTCCAGGTCATCACCTGTGCTTCTGAGCAACTGGCTGCAAACTAGAAGTTCCCATGACCTCCTTCTGCTAGAAGGAGGGACTAATTTACTAGAGCAGGGACTTCCTTGGTGGTCCAGTGGCTAAAAGTCTGCACTTTCTCTGCAGGGGGCAAGGGTTCGATCCCTGGTCAGGGAACTAGATCCCACATGCTGCAACTAAGAGTTTGCTTGCCACAACTAAAGATTTTGCATGCCTCAACGAAGATCGGCAATTCCCTGTGCCACAGCTAAGACCTGGTGCAACCAAATAAGTAAATAAAAATATTTTTTTAAAAAACATGGAGCTTTAAAACAAGACACAATAGTATTGGCATAAAAACAGACACATGGACCAATAGAGCCGAGAAATAAAGTCATGCACATATGGTTAGCTAGTATTTGACAAGAAAGCCAAGCATGCTTAACGGAGGAAAGACAGTCTCTTCAGTAAGTGGTGCTGGGAAAACATTCACATGTAAGAGAATGGAATCAGATCTCTATTTCACACCACTCACAAAAATTAACTCGAAACGGATTAAAGACTTAAATGTGAGACCAGAAACCGTGAAATTCCTGGGAGGAAACAGGCAGTCAGCCCTTTGACCTTGTCCTTGGCAGTGACTTTCTGGATTTGACACCAAAAGCAAAAAATAAACAAGCGGGGCTGCATCAGGCTAGAGAGTTTCTGCACAACCAAAGAAACGATCAACAAAATGAACTTACAGAATGGAAAAATATTTGCAAACGTATCTGTTAAGGAGTTTATATCCAAAATAGATAAAGAATTCATACAACTCAATAGCAGAAAAAAAAAAAATTAAGACATGGACAAAAGGGAATTCCTAGATGGTCTAGTGGTTAGGACTCAGTTTTAACTGCGGAGGGTGGGGTTCAATCCTTGATCAGGGAGCTGAGATCTCACGTGCTACATGCTGCAGCCAGGAAAAAAAAAAGGGCGGGGGGATGACAAGGGACCTGGATAAACATTTTTTCCCAAAAAAGGAAACACATGAATATGAATGTTTTCATATTTATGAAAAAAAGGAAACATATTCCTTCTATATGAATGGTCAACAGGTACACGAAAAGGTACTGTATTAGCAGTAATTCAGCATGCTAGTCATTAGGGAAATGCATATCAAAACCACAGTGAAATATTAATTTGGTTATTAGAATGACTGTTACCAAAAAGATAAGAGAGAACAAATGTTGCTGAGGATGTGGAGAAGTTGGAACCCTTGGGCACTGTTGGTGGGAATGTAAAATTAGTTCACCACTATGGAAAACAGCATGGAGTTCTTTAAAGTAGTGAACTTCCCTGGTGGTGCAGTGGCTAAGAATCTGCCTGCCAGTGCAAGGGACACAGGTTCCATTCCTGGTCTGAAAAGATTCCACATGCCTTGGAGCAACTAAGCCAGTGGGCCACAGCTACTAAAGCCCACATGCCCTGTAGCCTGTGCTGTGCTACAAGAGAAGGCCCCACGATGAAAAGCCCACAAACTGCAACCCAAGAGTCGTCCCCACTCGCCACAACTAAAGAAAGCCTGCATGCAGCTTCCAAGATCCAGCACAGCCAAAAATAAATCAGTAAAGTTTAAAAAAAAGATTTCATTTTAACCATACAATCCAGCAATTCTACTTCTGGGAATATATCTGAAGGAAACAAAAACACTACGTCAAAGAAATAACTACACCATCACTGCCAACCCCCACCCCCCGCCCTGTCCCCAGCCATGTACATTGCAGCGTTACTGAGAATAGCTAAGACATGGAGTCAACCTAAGTGTTCACAGGCAGGTAAATGGAGAAAGAAATGTTGGTGTGTCTATATATGATGGAATATTCTTCAGCCATGAAACAGGAAATCCTACCATTTGCAATCACATAGATGGACCTTGAGGGCATTAAGCTAAGTGAAATAAGTCAGAGAAAAGCAGATACTGTATAATCTTCACTTATATATAGAATCTTGAAAAAAAAAAAACAAAACGAACTCATAAATTGAGAGGTCAGATTTGTGGTTGCCAGAGACAGTGAATGGAAAGTAGGGGAATTGGAGGAAGATGGTTAAGAGGTACAAACCTCAGTTAGAGGATAAATGAATCCTGGGAGTGTAGTGTGCAACATGATGACTGGGTTTAGCCCTGCTGTGCAGTATAGTTGAAAGTTATTAGAGTTAGGAGATCCTCAAAGTTCTCGGGAAAAGGAAAACTTTTTTTTCTATCTATGAAATGGACATTTTTTTGTTTTGCTTATGTATTTTTAATTGCAATACATTTGCTTTACACTATTGTGGAGATGATGGATATTAACAAAACTTACTTTGATCATCTCACAATATAAGTCAAGTCATTCTGTATACCATGAACTTAAATAGTGCTGTATGTCAGTTATGTCTCAATAAACGTGGGAGAGAAAGTTGCATGCTGAAGTATGATGTGTGCTTCTTTCGAATGGTTTGGTTAAAAAAAAGGGAGGGATATGTGACTAGAGATGGAGCAAAATGTTAACCATTGTTAAACCTAGATGATTTCGATAGTATTTATATTACCATCCTTTTAACTTTTCTGTTTGGAAATTTTCTTAAGTCGGGCACACAGAAGATGCACGTCCTCCATTTCACTCCATTCTTAAGATGGAACTTCATGTGGGTACCAGTTACGATTAGGTTTGGCTGTGAGTAACAGAGACCCCAAATTACAGCAGCTTATACAAGATGGAAGCTTATATTTCTCTTATGTGAAAAGTTCACAGGTAGGTGGCTAGGCAGGTAGGTGGCTTTGCAACACATTCTCCTCAGGTCCGAGGCCCCTTCCATCTTATTGCTCCCCAATAGGTGACTTTCCTTCCCTCATGACCCAAGACAGCTGCTCCTATACCAGCCATCGCATCCACATTCCATCAGGCAGAAGAAGAAGAGGTAAAGGGCCTATTCCCACTACTTTTAGCAAGCCATCCCAGAACATTTCTGCCCACCTCTCCTTGACCAAAACTTAGTTATGTAGCTAGCTTCAAGGGAAGCTGGGAAACACCCTTCTCCTAGGCAGCCATGCGCTCAGCCTAATGCTGGGTTTGGAAGACAGGAAGGAGGGCAGCTGAAGGCCAGTATACAGGCTCTGCCCTACCTGAAAGGTGTTTTAAACCCATGATAGAGCAGTGTTGCCCTGTCTTCTCCCAGGGTTCTATACCCAGGCATCCAGCTTTAGTTTCTCAGGGTGTGGAAGAGGCCCAGCCAGTGAGCTGAGCCACCCACCCCAGCTCGCAGAGAACCCCCATGACTCCCTGTAACCGGCCGCTGTCCCTCTGTTCTGTCCTGCAGTCTCGAACCTGTCCCAGTACTTCAACCCCAGCTCGGTAGCCAACAGCCCTGCCCGAGCCCTCCTGCTGGTAGGCGTCGTCCTCCTGGCCTACTGGTTCCTGTCTCTGACCCTGGGCTTCACCTTCAGTGCCCTGCACATGGTGTTCGGCCGCTTCTTCTGGGTGGTGCGCGTCATTCTGTTCTCCATGTCCTGCGTGTACATCCTGCACAAATACGAGGGCGAGCCTGAGAATGCCGTGCTGCCCTTGTGTTTCGTGGTGGCCATCTACTTCATGACCGGGCCCATGGGCTTCTACTGGCGAGGCAGCCCCAGTGGCCCCAGCGTGGAGGAGAAGCTGGAACAGCTGGAGAGCCAGGTCAGACTGCTCAACATCCGCCTCACCCGTGTGCTGGAGAGTCTTGACCGCCCCAACAGCAAGTGACAACCAGCCAGCCGGCCGGCTCCCCCCCCACCAGCGCCCTCTCTCCGGAAACAAAAAAGAAGAAGAAAAAAAAGAACGCCAAACCCCAAACAATCTTAATAAACATGCCTGAGCAAGAGAGGGGCGCTTTGTGAGGGTGTTTCCGGCCACGTGTCAACTCTTAGGACATCTTCCGGGAGCAATTGACAAGATCATTGATATAGGACTACCCACCAAGTGTCATTAGTGGAAAAAAATATTTTTTAAACAAAGGATATAACCATATTAGCTGTACAGTAAGAGAAGTTTATCTGTGCATAGAGCATAAAGTTAATTTTTTCAAGCATTTAAATACATCTTTTGTAAGGTTTTTTAATAAAGGCAGATCGAGTTGAGCTTATTAAAACTACACAGAGGGGAAGAAATTGCTAATTCGACCTTTTGGAAAAGTTTCAAGGCAAGTGTTTGCTTTTGCAGCACGGGGATTGGTGGTTGAGGTCTGTGTGCGTTCTTTTCATGTTCCAAAGCTGTGACCTTCATTTCATGTTGTTTTTGGTTGATGTTGATTTGATGAATTGTGTCGCTTCTGAATGTGGACTGTTGGGTTTCAAGGTTGAAACTCAATGTCTTTGAGATCCTAGATGATCCAACCAAGCCTCCATCAATCAGATTTCTAAATGAAAAAATCATCATTTTTAGAAAACCTAAGATTCCCTCTCCCTTCTGTACTTTGATGTATTTTAACCTTCACATTTTCTAAAGGAAAATTCAAGAACCAGGCAAAGGAATATTGTTGGAGTTTGATACCAAGAACTGCCTGAGCAAGCATCGAAGCTCATCAGGTATCTAATTTGAGTCCTAATTTTATCACTGGCCAGCTAGGGGGATATAGGAAAGCTACACTCTCCAGGGTTTTTTGTATACTTATTTCATTTTGGTTGACTCAGGACTAAAGGAAAGGAAAACCAACCATAGCAGCTAATAACCTTTCAAGTCTGTTGCTGCTTGTAAAGCATTCTCAGGAACAATAAGCCAGACTTGGAGAAGTTCTGATTTATTTTATCTGGAATTTTTACAATATATGTGTTAGGTGCTTTTGGTTTGGAATCTGTGGCGGCTTCATTTTAGGTGGTCTCTAGGGGTGAAGAGAGGTACATGCAGGACAGACATGGGGGTCCTGAACAAAGGGGGCTTTGCAAGGCTTGGATCAGGGGCCAGTGGAGACGCCCCTTTCTGGGTACCAAACGGGCACAGGAAATCAAGGAAATGATGCCCCAGGTTTTGCCGCTAGGCTTCGTGACTGTCTCCATTGGCCTTCCTTGCCCACCTGCGTGTCCTGGCAGCCCCGTCACAGGCCCCTGTATACAGGTTTGCAGAGACCCCTGCCAGGTCAGGTAGAACCAAGACTTTCTGGTCCAGGAATCCTTTCAGAGAAAACTCAACTGCCTGCCAACTCTTCTGTGCTGTGTTTCTGTGCTGCTTTACTTGAGGTTGCGAGTACCGGGAAAAGAGAAGCAGATGTTTTTCAAGAATGTTTATGAAACTTCTATTTTTAAGGTGCACATTAACGGGGCCCAGACTCTCTTGCATTTGCGGCTAACTTCTTGAAATTATATACATGTCCTCTAGAATTTGCTTGAGCAAATCTTTATCCATGGGCATTGGAAACCCCTTGGTTTCCGCATTGAAGCCATTCCAGTTTTGTCATTTAGATACTTAGAGACAAATCTGTTTTCACACAGGGTATAGAGAACTCCAGGGAGGTCATGTTTGCCTTCTTTCCCCTTGTGCATTTGGCTTCTATGTCTCTAGCATGTTTGGGTGTTTGCTTTGCTCATGTTAGGCAGTGGGGTAATTGACATTCTCTGCACAAAGATTTTAAGTTTTAAATTACCGTCTGGGTACAACAACCACCCTTCTCTTGCCCACCCTCACACCTGGAAACCTTTTGGAACTGTGCTGTCTTGAGACCCTAGCAGAAAAATCATTTTAACTTCTAGTGAATTGAGGAAGGCTCACATATCTGGGTGCTGGTGGACTGAGGCCTCATCATCAAGTGGAAGTTATTGTTAAGAATATATACACCTCGGGATTTCCCTCTGGCCCAGGGGTTAAGAATCTGCTTGGCAATGCAAGGACATGGGTTCAATCCCTGGTGCAGGAAGATTCCACATGCCGTGAGGCGACTAAGCCCATGTGCTGCAACTAAGACCCAATGCAACCAAATACGTGAATAAATACATATTTTTAAAAATATGCACCTTGTTTTCTGGATTGGCTAAGTGTAGGCTATGAAGCCAGTTGAACAATCTGATATACCCAAATGAAAGATGTCTTTATTTTTAACAAAAGTTAATTAGTTCCTTAAGAGTATCACTTCAGGGTGGAATAGTCCTTGAAATTCTGATGGAAGTCACAGAGGTTCAATGTGTGTAACTCCTCCTTTTTAACGTAAATTTGACTTTTGCTTGGGCGTTGTCTTATCCTCAAATAGTTTAGATTTTTTTTTTTCTTCTTTCCATGGAAGCTTGTAGGATAATTGACCTCCGCCAGTACCCCTCATCTCCTTTTTTCTCTCTTTTGTACATGAGAAATGTATTTTTGTATCATATCTCATACCTTGAAGAGAAGTTTTTTATATCTTCAGGGCTGTAGAATATATTAGTGTAACATATCATTCAGTGTGATATGAAAACATCCTGACGAAAACTACTGTGAATCTCTCTTATAGTTAAAACTCAGTTTTTTAGATATTTTCAAGTTCATCAGTGTTAATTTCCCAATGCTTCAATATCACAGTAAATACCAAGAGCAGAAAAGAGCCCAGAAAAGAAAAAGGATTTGTTATCTCCAACTTGCTGGATTTCTGTGGATGTTTGGGGATCAATGTTTGGAGCAATCTCTTCCTTGACATCCTGGCAAAGATGCTTTTGTGGCACATCAGCCTTTCATATTTTCCATTTTTGTATTTTCCAATACCAATCAGCATTACTTGCCTTCTGGGGTTTTTTTGATTTGTTCGCCTTTTTTTTTTTTTTTAAACCCCATATCATTCCTTGTAGCAAAATGCAACGGTAGAATTTCCTGAAATCTGATCTTGTGAATTGTGCCAGGGTCTTTACTTTATGAAGGGGACCGAGTGACATCATGGAGAGAGGTTACTGCCTTTGAAGGAGATTTTAAATACCTATAGTTGCCTGGAGACGACAGGCACGACCGCAGGAAGCCTGTCCCCTGCTGACTGTGACGGGGAGTAGCTAGTTGGAGACATTTCCTGTTGGCACTAAGGGTGAACATGCAGGATGGGGTCAGTACTTGGGAGGGTTGTAAAAGGACTTTTGTACACCCACCCACCGGGGCTGGCTTGTGAGGAAGATGTAAACCACTTTGGTGGCATTTCAGTAACCTAGAGAGGTTAGGAATACCATGTCAGATGTCCAGTGCAGAATCTAAAACATGGCTAAGACACCTTCTCACTCGGGAATCCTGCTTTACTTCATCCCCTTGCTTCCTCCTACCTTTTGTTTTGTTTTTCCTTTTTCTTTTTTTTTCCCGGCTGCACCACATCGCTCATGGGACCTTAGTTTCCCAACAAGGGATGGAACTTGGGTCCTCTGCAGTGAAAGCGAGGCATCCTAACCACTGGACTGCCAAAGAATTCCCTCTGCTACTTCTTAAGATGCTTTTAAGGAAGGATATTGGCCTTATAGGTTGATACCCGGTCACTTCTCCCGATGGGTTTTGAATTGACTGACTGAACCAAAAAGCCAGCTCTCGCCATCACCTCTCGGCCTTTCGGCTAAGATCAAGTGTGGTATGGGGGCTTCCCGAGTGGTTTAGTGGTAAAGAAGCCTCTTGCCGGTGCAGGAAATGCAAGAGTTGCAGGTTCGATCCCTGGTTCAGCAAGGTCCCCTGGAGTAGGAAATGCAACCCACTCCAGTATTCTTGCCTGGAAAATCCTGTGGACAGAGAAGCCTGGTAGGCTACAGTCCATGGGGTCACAAAGGGGATGCAAATGAGCGCACACACAGCCATCCCTCTAGCTCACTTTAACAGAAATTTCTGGGGACTTCCCTGGCAGTCCCGTGGTTGAGACTCCATGCTTCCAATGCAGGGGACATGGGTTTAATCCCTGATGGGGGAAATAGCATGGCCAAAAAAAATAGAAGGAATTTCTAAGACCTAAAGGTGTCACCCATCTCCCCCAACTTTTTGTGGATAATACATCACCATTCTGCAAAATTTTTGTTTATGGCCATTTGAATACTTCAACCTTTGCTCCTTATTGTGAATAATAGAAGCATATACTTTTGCAGGATCTAATACAGTAGCCTTCAAATTAAGACTTGGACAACCATCAGTGTGATAAATAGGATCTGGAGTAAACAAAGCTTGTCCAGCCTACTGAAATCTGCACTCTGCTCTTCACTGATTCCTTGATATGTAGGAGATACACCAGGACCAGTGTTTCCCTGGTGGTGGTATAAAAACCTGATTGCCCTTTGCACCATCTACTGAAAATCTGTGGCAGCTAGTGGTGTTATCAACCATATGTTCTAATGTCTTTTTGCAGATTTAAAGATTTTATTGTAGTGTCAATTTAATATCCGCATGTGTGTTAACTCTTTGAATACTGTAACTAAATTGATTTCTTTGTGATGGTGGTGGTGATTAGCACTCACTTAAAATCCAGCCTAGCACTTACTTCCCTCTTCTCAACTGGAAATCATATTTGTGAGGTATGGTACCCATGATCCACTGTATTCATGAGTCAACTTCACATTTCGTGTATCTGGTTATAAATTTTACATGGCATTTAATTTGATACTCTGAATTCATTTGATTTTAATATAGTGGTGTGTGTGTGTGCCTATGTGGCGTGTGCTCACTTTAGTTTCATGAGCCTTGGGAAACTGATTCTACAAATATCATAAATCGGCATAAATGTATAAGGCTTATTTTTTTTGGCAAAGCAATCCGTACATTTCTCTTATTTATTAAATCACTGGCTTTGGTGTTAC